TGAAACCACCAGGTGCAAGGCAGGGAGGATGCTCAAAAGGCCCCATGCCTGGATTCTGCAGCTCACATGTGCAGTCGGCACCCCAGAAAGATCACAGGCTAATTTCTTCTGACATGTAGTCTCTCTGTATGCTTGGGCTGGAAATTTTACCTATCTTGTAGATATGTGAACAGTGCCATCCCACAGGGCTGCTCTTAGGATTAGTTGGAGCAAACCTGTGTAGCTCTGTGGGTGTGGTGAACACTAAACACTACAAACTGGTATAAGCTGCTTGCACATTTTCTGATCACAGCAGCTAAGTACAGAATGTATCAAATGCTAAAATAGATTAACATTTACTTTACAGGCCTATGATAAAATGCTAAGTACAGTAGTCCTGTGTTAAGGGATTGCTTGTGACATATATCATTTGAGGTTGAGCAACTGTCATAGAATCGTTTAGACTGGAAAAGACCTTTAAGATCATCCAGTCATTGTATTCTGCCATCAGACAAAGACGTCATATTCCTGGAGATTTGGTGCTTCCATCATGACAGCTTGCTGGAAGCCCTTTGCTGCGCAGAGACTTTACCAAGCCAGCCTGAACATTAGGGCACTCTACAAAGCATTTTAGGTATAAATCCCCCTCTGGAGAAAAGAGAAAAGGCAATACTGGCACGCCTTGAGATCAGGCACCTAGCAATTGAGAAACAGGCGGACATAGGTTCCTGTCACTCCGGGTTTGGGTGATCTAACCCCAAATATTTTTCTCAGGGAAATTTGTCTATTAGGCCTCCCATTGGGTTGGCCAACATGAAAACTTCTAGCAAATTCAATATTTGCTAAGGGGAGGAAAGGCAGAAGCATTGGTTGGATTTAGTCATGAGAAAACTCTGAGTCCTTTCAGAAACAGATTGCATAGTTCAGCAAAGACAAGGCCATTGCTAGACAAAAATAATTTCACAAGCAATATGTGAAAGAAATTAAGAAGAGGAGCAATCAGCAAAGAGTCAGCATAGAATTGAGAAAATAGGGTAGAAGCCACAGCAACCAACTACCTGGCTGAAAATCAGGAGATTAATCTGAGTAAATAGTCAGCCAGTTCCCCTGGGTCACTATAACATTTAACAGCAGTATAAGGTCTTCGCCATATAAGAGCAACGATGGGAAGCATACAGCAGAAAGAGTTACTCAATGGCCCATTCCTGAACAATGGTCTACTGATGATGATGATGATAAAATTTGGAATTTTGTCCATCACAGGAAATACAACAGCGTGAGAGACAGAATGGCCTAACAAACAGATCAATGGACTAGGGATCAGAGATTTTATGTTTCCATATCTCAGGCCTGCAGGGTGACTGCAGATAAGGCCTTATGCTCTGTCTCAGTTTCCCCACAAGCAAAGCATGCCGGAGCCTTGCACTCTGAGTCACAAGAATAGTCCCCACCAATCCAGTTTGAAAAATGAAAAAGCCTCTGGAAAAAAAAATATACTGGAAAGATTCATCAGTTTCTTGAAAACAAGAACCAGTTCACAAACTCGCCTTTTCAGGAGATTTTCTGTTATCTGAGGAAAGGGAATGGAAAAGTCAATATAGTACAAACATACCTGTGAATTAAGCTGTTTTGGGGGCAGATGCAGGCAAGTTGCAATATCATGGACCTCTGCACTGGCTATTTAATCCCCAAGTGATAGGTGAGCACCCTCCTGTGCAGACACAGCCAAATTCCAGGAACAGGTTTTAAGGGTGTCTTGAACATGCAGCTGACTACTCACACTCCTTCCCAGTATCCTTAGCATGGAGCTGTGTGAGAAGGCATCTCAAAAGTAGGTGGAGGTTTTTCTAGAGACTTCCCTCCAGCAACTGCTGACAGAGGAACAGACTGTGACACTGTTGCAAGATGGAGGGAATGATAGCAACCCCTATAGCTATTATTTGCTTCCATTAACAACACGGGCGATAGGTGGAAAGATAATGGAAAGGCAATGCCATCTCCATGCCCTGCCTTCAAGTGCATAGCCTGAAAATCCAGCCTGATGTTTATATAGTGTTTTCAACCTGTAATCTGCTAAATACTGTGATTAAATAATTGTGCTTAAGGTTATAACTGCTTTTAAATTGTACAGTTTAACACCGAGCAGTAGAGTTGACAAACACCATTCCCCATTGAGTAAGTAACCAAACCTAAGCCTGGGGGCTGAGACCTGAAAGAGCACCCAATGGTGGTGGAGGGGAGGAAACCCCAAAAGGAGGAGTATTTTATTGGCATCTGGGGAAGAAAAGGGGAGAAAAGTGAAAGGGCCTAAAACATGTTTATTTTACACAGGCTGTGCTGTTGTACTTGGCAGGCATTTACCTTAAGGTAAGGAGGTCTGGCATGAAGTGGTGAAAGGACTGTCATTTTACTGGCATAGCAAAGTTTGGGGCAACAAGCCATTCTGGTGTGTGTGGGCACCCTCTCCTAGAGAAATAGCTTCCAGTGTAGGGTGGCAAGTCTTG